TTTATGCATCTGCTTCTACCTCCACAGTTGCATTCATATTCCGATGTGGGAAAGATGCAGGTCCACAATAAATAAGTGTTATTTGAAGAGTTTTAAAAGATACTTTAAATTTCTAGTTTTTAGGTCATTTTCATCTTCTGCACTTCATTTCACACTCATAAACCAATTAAATAAGTGGTAGTTTCATTTTCCTAGTTTTATAAATATAGATAAATCTTTGTTTATGATAGGAACAATTTTTACTTGGGTTATCACGTACTGGTTAAAATTTAGGGGATGTAGTGAAAAATCTCATCTACTCTGTTCGAAATCAGACCATTCTTGTAGGATTAGTAGGTGCATGTTAGCTGATGCAGAAACTCCGAATTAACCAAACAAACAACTTTCACAGATTGTAATTATATTTTTGAAAGATGCGTAGTATTAGGAGCTCATGTGGATGACTTTGTTGCTTTGGCTTTCCTCAGGAAAGGGCCATTTTCTCCAACACATCGATAGATGATCACAATTGTGGTTCTGGGCAGGTTGTGCGCTACCAAATTCAGAGCATCTTTTGGGGTGGTTGTTCATACCCCTACCCTTTCACATACCACTCAGAAGAAATATGAATAGAATCGGCCTTTTTTAGTGTATTGGGATAATGAAATTTATAAAATGTTTGAATAGCAACGCTGATGTAGAAATCTCCGAAATAAAGTATCTGTTGGAGTTGATTGTAACCGTTTCCAGGGATTCTTAAAGTTTTTTGATTGATTTCGAGGGGTTTTTTAGTTTTTTTTTCCGATTTCAAGGCTCTTTTTTGTTTTTTTAATTTCAAGAGACTTTTTCGGTTTTTTGTTAGTTTTAAGATACTTTTTTTGATGGTGGGGGCACAAGTGGGAAATTACTGGGGGCACTATGGTAGAAAGTTTTAAAAAAATGTTTTTTACCTATATAAAAGAGAATATTTAATAAGGACCCATCCCCTAATTTTGACATACGGCATCCTCCCCTGCTAGGAAGAGCTGTAAGAGTAAGAGTTCAGGTTCCCTTACCACGGTCCACTTACTAAGGGATATAAAGGAAGGACCAAGGGCCAGAGCAAGTGATCCTAGCTAGTTTGGTCTATCGAAATCAATTATGGAGCCGTTTACCCAACTCCTACAAGTTAAGTTATTATCAGGTGTCACCTTACTGATGGGCATGACAAAGATCGAAAATTTCGACTGGTTAGAGGCATAGAAGGACATAAAGTCTTAGCGGGTGAGGGAGAAGACTCTTACTCAGTAAGCAAGTAAAAGAGGCTTACCACAATTCACAATTCATTTTGATGACTAAAAATGTTTTCATAAGATAAATGAGAGTGATAACTTTTGTCAATAAGCAATTTCAGAACGACCAGTACCCAAAGCTCAAAATCAGATTGAAAAAGGAGCTCAGTTAGATATGAAACAATTATAAATGTTTTCTAAAACTGTAAATTTGTTGAATTTGTTGGAGGTATTCACAAAAAGGAAGACCTCTCCAAAAATAAGCGTATGCCACTTGATACAACGAACACACGGTATTCTTTAGTAAAAGGCGAAAGAATAGTTCGCTTTGTGTTCATTGCATGGCTGCGTGATTTAGAACCTTGTTCAGCACCTTCTTTATGCATCTGCTTCTACCTCCACAGCTGCATTCATATTGCGATGTGGGTAAGCTACAGCTCCACAATGAATCAGTGCTATAAGTCCCACAGATCCTTCTTAAATATTTGACAATAAAAAAGACAACATTCACAAGAACGTAAGGCATGTTAACTAATCAAAATAGAAAAAAACGAATTATGCGTACGTCATTGGTCTATAAAACCCACCACTGCTTGATATCATCCACTGTAATACCCATGCATGTTTAATGAATTCAAGTATTTAACGAGCTTCGTAATTTCGAAGCACAAGTCGAACTCGAGCACATAATAGATATTGTTTAACCTGATGAGTTGAGCTTAGTAACATCAATCATTTGATAGGCTCGTCTCTAAATTATTATATCGAGTCAAACCGAGCCATCCCAACATATACTGCTAACATGGCGATATCTTAATAAATTATAATAAAAAAAATATAAAACAAAAGCTCGTTTCTTCTACCTTGAACAATGAAAAAGTTCTCAAGTTTCAGCATTATTTTGGAAAAATTAATCGAGCGGGAGTCTAGTATATATTAGGAGTGGTATATTAGATACAAAATGAAGCAAATTAGTGTATACAAAAAAGATTGAAAACTAGAAAACTAGGAAGAGGCCGCGCGAACGCAGGCCTCCACTGTCACAAATTATGACGTAGGCTCGACCACTTGGGCCGACCTTAGGCGGGCACCCCTCCAAAGTGCAATGGAGGTCACCAACCTAGACCATAGGCCTTTTTGATCACCCATTGATCCCGTCCAGGTAAGTAAGTAAAAAGTTCGATCACACCCGTCTTAAATAACCTTTGCTCTGACTTTATATCTCATTCTGACACCAATGTGGGATGAAATGGAGAGCTTATATACCCTTACAATATACCTACAAAGTAGCAAACTTAAAGGTTAACTTATACGTGGATCTGAATTCTCACCATTTCTTAAATTATTGGACTCAATTTGATTTACTGAGATCTTTCATTCACATTTTTTTCCAATCAACCTAAGAAGAGCAGTAAGAGTAACCGTTCAGGTTGTCTACGACGTCGACATGAAGCAGGATTTCACAGCTATTAAAGAATGCAAGGAACCAACGCCAGAGCAAGCGACCATAGCTAGTTTGATCTATCAAAACAAAGTAAGTTGTAGTTTTTTATAAGGTAGGTTTTGGTTAGTCGGTCATTGCAAGTCTGAATGAAAAAGTCTGCTTAATGAATAACGTTTTTTAAGAAACTTAAATGACTATAAATTGTAGGAGGTATTCCTAAAAGGAAAACCTCTCCAAAAATAAGCGTATGCCATTTTATACAACGAATACACGGTATTCTTTAGTAAAAGGCGAAAGAATAGTTCGCTTTGTATTCATTGCATGGCTGCGTGACTATAAACCTTGCTGAGGACCTTCTTTATGGATCTGCTTCTACCTCCTGATTTACACAAATACTCCGATGTGGGAAAGATGCAGGTCCACAATAAATCAATGCTATTTGAAGAGTTCCAAAAGATACTTGAGATTCTTGTTTTTTAGGATCATTTTCATCTTCTGCACTTCATTTCACACTTTATCATAAACCAATTAAATAAGTGGTAGTTTCATTTTCCTAGTTTTAAAAATATAGATAAATCTTTGTTTCTGATAGGAACAATTTCTACTTGGGTTGTAACATACTGGTTAAGATTTAAGGGATGTATCGAAAAATCTCATCTACTTTAGGTTCGAAACCTGACCATTCTTGTAGGATTAGTAGTTGCATGTTAGCTGATGCAGAAAGTCACAGTTATGGGTGTTCATGGGTTGGGTTGATCGGGTTAAAGACATTTGAATAACTCAACCCAATCCTTGCAATTTGGAAAAATCTTAACACAACCCAAACCAAAGTGCAACCCAATCCGTACGGGTTGGTCGGATTGATATTTTGGTATATTAAAATATCCTTCTAACCTTGAATATGCTAATTCTCTACTCATAATTTCTTTTTCATCATCAACCATTTGACACAACTTATTCATATTTCTTACGTATATCACATTCAGTTAATTTTCTCAATTTACATATATATGTTCACAGTTACTGAACATATATATGAATGAGTTATATAGAGATATGAATATATTGAAAATATGTGTATATGAAAAGCATACATGATAGTGTAATTGTCTAATGTATATATTAATAGAAATTCAACAATTATATTAAATCCAATAAATAAAAGGATATCAGGTTCATCGGGTTAGGTTGGGTTCAAACAATAGTAACCCAATACATACGGTTTGACAATTTTACAACTTGATTAGACATCGGCTTGCTTCGGATTGGGTTATTCCGCGTCGGGTTGGGTTGGGTTGGGTTGGTCGGGTTTTTGAGCACCCCTACTCATAGTTAACCAAACAAACAACGTTCACAAATTGTAATTTGAAAACAAGAAAAACATACCAAAGTTGTTGCAATATCTATATTTAGATCGAAAGATGAGAAAAGGTTGCCAAATTTACACACAAACAAGTAGAGATAACGTTTCATTCTAATTCCCGTTTCCCATCCGTCTCAACCAAACACTCTTTTAGGGCCAGTTTGTTTTCGGGATTTGGACTTGAAATTACTTGAGGTTCAATGAAATCATAGGAACATCGTATTTAGAAATCTCATGAGATAGTTAGTATTTCACTGCATTTGTTTGTAACAATAATTTAGAAAACATCAAAAACATTCAGCTTGAATTATTTTAATAGTTATTTATAAGGGGTCGTTTGTTTCAGAGAATGTTTGTTTGAAGGAATCAAATCTTTAGAAGAGTTATAATGAAATTTAACCATCCAGTTTGTTGACATGAATTGGGACAAAATCTATTAAAAGGTTAAAATCTATCTGTGTTGGTTAGCAAAATGTAGTTTTGAAATTGGAATGAAATAGGCTTTTTATTATATTTTTTTATAGTTTATCTTACCGGATGAATATAGCAAAGATCAAAAACCTTACCTGGTAAAAAGCGAAGACAAGTAACGAGAGTTTTACCTAGTAAACAAGGCGACGACTTTTATCACGGTTAGCGCTTACCCGATAATTTGTGGTATACATACCGTTTTGTTGGACTAAAATTTTACTCGATAAGTAAATGATAATGTTGAATTTTTTCCGTAAGCATTTAGGGATTGTTTGTTTACCACTTAATGATGTCATTAAGAAGTAAATGTCTGATTCAGTAAGACTTTTTCTCTTTTGGATTAAATGCATCAAATAGCAACTTACTTTCATAAAATTTCTTATTATAACATTCTACTTTTGTTTTTCATTATTACAACAATGTACTTTCAAATTATTTTTTATTACGACATTGTACTTTAAAAAATCTACCCATAATAGCAATTAGTAACTTGTTACCTTTTAAACTGGTTAACCCTTTGACTTTTTTGCTTGTGTGGCTTTAATGAGGTGATGTGGATGCCACATTATTTTGATGACTTAACTAAAATTAAAATAAAAACTTATTTCAAATTATTATTAGTGATTTTCATTTTTCATTACTATGATTTAAAAAAACATATTTTTTTACTTTTTCTTATTAAGTTGCATTCAAATTAAATATTCTTAGAGTAAAATATTTATTAAATAAATATGAAACATTATTTTCGAGATATACTTTGTTTGTAAAAAAAATAATTTTTTCTATTTTATGTTGTTCAAATAAATACATATATTTAAAAAGTTCTTTTTAAAATATTARCGAAATAAATTGTTATCTATAATTTTTTAATATTGTTATATTAATAAATAATTCAAAAAAATATAATTAATTTAATATATTTATTCGTCAAGTAAAAAGTTTTTGAACAAATATAATATATTCTTTAAAAGATAATATTTTTTGGTAAAAAAAAATAATTCTTATTTTCCTTTTTTCAAAAAACACATATTTTTTTTTTAAAATGTTAGCGAGATAACTTGTCTTCTACTAGTTTTATTGATATTGGTATATTAATGAATAATTTAGAATTTTTTTAATACATTTATTAAATAACATGTAAAATATCTAAATATTAAAATTAAAAATACAGTGTTAATAAGAACTAATATATGCTATAATAAAATAATTTTGAAAGTACAATGATGTAGTAAGAAAGTCACATCAYTATAGTACATGTGGACAGCCTACGTGGACAATGAGGTGGCATAGAAACCTAGTATAATGAGTAAATTTAAATCAAAAGGTTACTTAATGCTATAATGGGTAAATTTTTCAAAATACAATGTCCTAATAAAAATAGTTTGAAAATACATTAATGTAATAAGAAAAACTATAAATACAATACTATAATAAAAAAAATTATAAAAATAAATTGCTATTTTTTTTTTTTTTTTGAGGATTTTGAAAAAGCCCCGAATGAATTAACGATGAATGGCTCCCCAGATTCATATATGAAAATTTCCCACGTTTGCCTCCTTGCCTCTTCCGGTTCGTCTCTAACTCCCCCCTATCGATTCTCCCATTCTTCTCTACGCTATCCTCTCGATCGATTGTTGAATACCACCGGTGCAACATCAGTTGGAAACCAGCGACTCACAATCTGTTGGAATCGCACCGGCGCACTGTTGGAAACCTAGCGATGAGCCCTGGTTCGAACCTACCATCGATTCAACAGGTAAGATCTCTCGACTTCCAAAATCCAGTCTATTGTGATTAATTTTGCTTTCATCTCTCTTCTCTTTATGATTATTTTTGGTCGCATAGGTGCCATGTCTCTGTTGTGATAATTTTGGTTTCATTGGTTCCACAATGCATGTTATCCGATCTGTTGTGATTATTTTGGTTTCATTGCTCCTTAGCCATTCATGATTAACTACTACCTGATGGTGTTACCTTTAATTGACTGTTTTTTGCATCCTATTTGAGATTTTCCCACTCCCTTTCTATCTAATAGCAAGATTTACTTCTACCAGTTTTGCATCTAAAAAACTGTAGTGTAGGTCTTAGCTTCTACATTAGAGTCAAGAAATATTAGCAACTATATTTATGTCTTCTCTTCCTTCTTCTCCCCTATCAACTTCATGAAGTTTATGATGGAATTCTCATAATTCCCACAATGGAGATTAAACAACTGTTTATGATGGAATAATGACTTGATTCATGTATGTGTGCTGCAACCAATTCATACAACTCATTAGGTAACAATAGCCTAGATCTATTACATGTCTTCCACTTGTATGTTGCAGGCCTTAACATATTCGATTGTACCATAAATAAAAATCCATCTCTACATGATTCAGTTATGGTGCACTTAACTACACGAAATTTATGCATACTTGATTAACTGTGCTGCTAACTAACCCGTGTGACTATCTCATGCCACTGACCTTTCCATATATGTAATTTACTAGAGAATTATGAGGTGTTTGGTTTGATGGTATGGTTTGGAGGGATTTGGATTTCAGGATAATTTATTCTTGACAGAAGTTGATAGTTTGTATAAAGAACAAATAAAAAATATGCAGTTGTTCCCTGCAAGTGATTGAATCTCTTCTAATCTTGGAAGTAAATAATCCCCTTCAGAACTTCTAATGCTCTCCCATTGTCAATCCATTTTATTAAAGCCTTACCCATAAGTGCAATGGAAGTCACCAAACTAGACCATATGCCTTCTTGATCACCCATTGATCCCGTCAATGGTAAGTATGTATATAATTTGACCACACCCTTCATAAATAACCTTTGCTCTGACTTCATATCTCATTCTGACACCAATGTGGGATGAAATGGAGAGCTAATACACCTTAACAAGATACCTAGAAAGTAAACAAACCTAAAGCTTAACTTAAGGGCCGTTTATCAAATGTTTATCCGGGTAAACGCTTAACAAGTCACATTACCTTACCGGATGAATATGGTAAGGACCAAGAATCTTACCCGATAAAAGCGAGACTAAGGACCAAAAGTTTTACCCGGTAAGTGAGCGTGAGGACTCTTACCATAGTTAACGTTTACCGGGTAAATAGTTGCATACAATGCCGTTTTTGTTGACTAAAATCTTACCTAGTAAGTAAGTGATAGTGTTGAATGTTATTGAAGACAATTTGATTTAGTGGGATCTTTCATTCACATCTTTTTCCAATCTACCTAAGAAGAGCATTAAGAGTAACCATTCAGGTTGGCTACGACGTCTAGCAAACATGGACTTGATGTTTTCTAAAACTGTAAATTATAGGAGGTATTCACAAAAAGGAAGACCTCTCCAAAAATAAGCGTATGCCACTTTATACAACGAATACACGGTATTCTTTAGTAAAAGGCGAAAGAATA